GCCTCTGGGGGCCACGCGCTCACAGGCAGATTCTCCAGGCCGCGCGCGACATCTAGCTGCTCTGTCAGGGGCTCAGGCTCCTCCTCAGCCGCTGCCATCCCGCAGGGCCACCTCTCCACGGCTTTAGTGTACGTTTCTCCCCGACGCGAGGCGCCTACCGCCTAGACTATCTTGAGTCTCGCAGAGGAAGCTGGGAGTCGTGGGTCCCGGGGCCCCACTGCCTCATGGGAGTCTTAGTTTTTCTCTAAGTGGCCTGTGAGGGCGTCTGCTCCCTCGACCCTCAGCGTTTCTTGACTTTTCGGTCTGGCTCGCTTTTTGTTTTGAGCCACACGCACCACAAAAAATAGAAAACCTTGCAAGGTACGGACAAAGCTTTCGGAACACACCACGGAGTGCTTGAATTTTTCTTGCGAGCCCAGGGAGGGCTTCTGAGGCGAGCGCGTTTGTCCGGGTCTCTGAGGGCGTGGGGGGAGGGGCGCGCTCTTACCCGAGGTGGGGGGTCACACTGGGGTTTCTGAAGATCTGGAACCTGCGGGGACGTTGGGTGGCGTGTGGTAGGGTTTCCGCGGCGGCGGTGGAATAGCCCTACGGGGCGCGGGAAGGCTGTGTGTCGGCCGCGCGCCGGCTGCGCGCCGGCTACGCGCCGGCTACGCGCGCGCTCTCTGACTGGCCTCACGGTTCCCTGTCGGCTTCTCTGTCTCCGAGGAAACCACACCCCGCCCCGGCAAAGGATTCTGAGAACCTCGAGATGGTAGAATCCAGTGGAACGTTTCCAACCTTCCCAAAGCTCTCTGACTCGATTGTCCTGCTGCTTCTACGTGAAACCCTGCCCCCTCGCAGCCTGTGGGGCCCCTGTCCCGGGTGCGTTTGAGTTGCGCAGACCGTCCTGTCCTCGCCACATGTCCTTCTCTGGCTTGACTCTGAAATTGGGGCTTGTGTAGCTCAGCTTTCTGCCCCAGGCCCTTTCCTCACCTTCTGTGGGCTTCCTCAGTAATAGCGTCTACTCCCTGGCTTCAAATACTATTATAAAGTGTTGGGTCCTCAGTCCTAAAGTGTTGGGTGTAGACTGGAGATACGTATCCGGTTATGGATGGACTCGCAGGACTGTCATAAGCCACACGTGTCATTAGGTACAGTAAGAAGGTCCGAGCCTGCCAGCAGAGAGGCTTTCGATGTTGTTCTTTGGGAATAGTGCATGCGGTTATCACACAGTAGGTTATCATACAGTAGGTTACAGAGCTGACTTGGAATGTTCTTTGTCTTCCCAAAGGATGACTCAAATCCAAGAGGAGAGCCTCATTAATAGTGTGTGGGGTCATTCTTAATTAGTCTTATACCACATAGGAACCATAGGCTTGAAGGTGGTCACCTAGTAAATATTTTATCAGACATGGCTGTGCAGTTGCTCTTACTTAGGAACTGCCAATAGTATAATTAAGGGATATAAGGAAGGTTCAGGTAAAGTGGAACTTCGAGAGAAGGAAAGATTACTTATAGCTGGGAAGATCAGAGAAAGCTTGGTAGAGAAAGGGCTACTTTCCAGAGGCCTTGAAAAATGAACAGGATTTAGGAGATTAGGAAAGGGCATTGCAGGCAGAAGGAACAGTAGGAGTAAAGGAATAGAGAAGTGTGTATAAAAAAGAGTAATTTTAGATTGGATGGAGGTCAGATTCATTTCATTTTTCAGGAACTGAAAACAAAGAAGGAATTTTGCAGATATCCAAAGAACATGCTGTTCTTTCATTTTAAGAAACATTTTGAACACTGATTATATGCATAGTGCTGTTTACCAATTTGGGGAATGTGCCCATGAAGGAGATATGGTGCCCAAGGAGAGCTTCCAGTCCAGCAAACAAATGACTATACACCAGAAATTAGTAAGAACTATAAGAATATTATGAAGAAGAAATTATAGGAGCAGTGAGGAGAACTACACCCTTGTATTTGTAGATAATTATGCTGTTTTTCTTTTTGACTCTTTCTTGGTAATATTGTCTGCCCTTAGGGAAATTTTTTTGAAGGATCCTTCTTATTTTATTATTTTTTTTCTAAAGCTGTTAGTGATGGTGCTTCCAGAATAAGCTATTCAGTTCATGTCAGCCGTTCAGTTTAATTTATTTTTATCTTGTTGGCAAAGGATCTCAAAGTATTTTATATAGTGTGAGATTAAAATAATGAGAGGATGTTTGCAGGCTGATACAGCCAATCTTCAGAATGCTAAGCGGTCAGTCTTTCATCTTTTCCATGTCTAAAAACCTATATTATTTTCTCTAGACACTGGTTCTTCACTGACCAGGACCCTGAATCTTCAAAATTTGTTCTTTCAACCATTATAGCTACATGGTGAAAAAAAAAAGTATCCTTGGACATTAAAGAGTTGCCCAAATTGACTATTATAAATAAGACTTGGACCTGAATATTATATTGATTATTCAAATTTCTTTTGACTTTTTCACTGGTGGAAGAGAAAATAATCTGATTAATAATAAGAAAAAAATTAAAGAAAAAGGAAATAATGCAATATAGTAAAACTCTAACATTTTATACATTCAGTTATCTTTAATTATGGGGTATGATGATATGACCTCCCCCTACCCCCCCCCTTTTTTTTTAACAAGATTGGCCTTTAATTGAGATGTTTTCTTAGGCCTTTTGGCCAGTGTTTTGATGAAGTTATGCATGATTTTGAATTCAGAAGCCATTCTTTTATCAAAATTTCACTAGCATTATCTGACCTTAATCTCGGATATACTTGATAGCCAGTAATGAAAGTTCTGAAGTTAGCAGAAATTATATATTTGTTGGGATTATGACAGCATGAATAAAATAGTTTGGAACATCTTAGTTTTCTAATAATAACCATTAAATAGGCCTAGGGTAAACACTAGATCCTCTCATCAAATAAAATTGTGTAAATGAAATCATTTTGAGGAGAATAAAACATAGTAGTTGATACTTTTGGGGATTTCTGCTAACTTGTTGAATACTTGCTTCCTGAGAATATGTCAGACCCTATACAGCTCATCCCATGGGGTGGGCTCACTGGCAGTCATATTTATATTACACAACCTCTAAGTTTTGCCACAAGCTTTTGACCTCTGGATACACACCTAATTCAAACTAGAACAGTCAGATTCTCCTAATGAGCAGTTGAGACCAAAAAACAGCTAAAACTGTGTTTATAATTTGGGAGCTGAGAGAAATCTTCATTCAGTATATTGAGAGAGAAGCAGAGAAAGTAAGTCTTCCAAGAGAAAAAATAAAGGAGATGAGTGACAAAGAGAAAGGATTTTTTAGTTCCTGATGCTTATCCATTTCTTGTTCCAGTTTATTTTTGATTGACACAACATATTTATATTCTTATAACAAATTATTCCTTTCAGTTTAGATCAAGTCTGTGTATTTCCTGCTATCTTAGTAAAAATTTTTGATCAGTGAAAGTGATAGCGTTATTACAGGCATACCTAGGAGATACTGTGAGTTCATATCCAGACCACTTCAATAAAGTGTATATTGCAATAAAGCAAGTCATACAATTTTTTTGGCTTCCTAGTGCATATAAAAGTTACTTTTATACTATACTGTAGTCTATTAAGTGTGCAATAGTTTTATTTCTAAAAGATATACATGCTTTATTTTAAAAATACTTAATTGCTAAACAATGTTAACCATCATTTGAACCTTCAGCAATTCGTAATCTTTTAGCTGGTGGAGGGTCTTGCCTCGATATTGATGGCTATGATTGATCAGGGTGTTGGTTGCTGAAGATTGGTGGCTATGGCAATTTCTTAAAATAAGAAAGTGATAAAGTGTACTGCATCAATTGACTCTTTCTTTCTTGAATGATTTCTCCATAGCATGCAATGATGTTTGATAACATTTTACCCACAGCAGAACTTCTTTCAAAATTGAGGTAAAAAAGACAGTCACTTCAATAAGTGGTGCTGGAAAAGTTAGACAGCTACATGTAAAGGAATGAAATTAGAACTTCTCTAACACAGTATACAAAAATAAACTCAAAATGGATTAAAGACCTAAATGTAAGACCAGATACTATAGAACTCCAAGAGGAAAAAATAGGCAGAACACTCTTTGACATATAGTGCAGCAATATTTTTTTGTATCCATCTCCTAGAGTAATGGAAATAAAAATAAATGAATGAGACCTAATTGAACTTAAAAGCTTTTGCATAACAAAGGAAACCATAAACAAAATGAAAAGACAATCTAATAGAATGGGAGAAAATATTTGCAAACGATGCGACTGACAAGATTGATTTCCAAAATATACAAGTAGCTCACACAGTTCGATATCCAAAACCCCCAAAGAACCCAATTACAAAAAATGGACAGAAGACCTAAACAAACATTTCTCCAGTGAAGGCACACAAATGGCCAATAGGAACATGAAAAAATGCTCAATATCACTCATCAAAAAGTCTACAGGTAATGAATGCTGTAGAGAGTGTGGAGAAAAAGGAAACCACGTCAGAGTTGATGGGAATGCAAGTTGGTGCAGCCAGTACGGACAGCAGTCTGGAGGTTCCTTAAAAAACTAAAAATAGAGTTACTGTATGATCCAGCAATCCCACTCTTGGGAATATATCTGGAAAAAACTCTAGTTCAAAAAGATACATGCGCCCCTATGTTCATAGCAGCACTTCTTACAATAGCCAAGTTATGGAAGCAACCTAAATGTCCACTGAATAAAGAAGTGGTATATACGTATACAATGGAATACTACTCAGCCATAAAAAGGAATGGACCTAGAGATTATTGTGTTAAGTGAAGTAAGTCAGACAGAAAGACAAATCTCGTACGATATTACTTATATGTGTAATCTAAAAAATGACACGAACTGATGTACAAAGCAGAAAGAGACTCACAGACATAGAAAACAAACATGATTATGGTGGGACGAGGGGAGGGAGGGATAAATTGGGAGTTTGGGATTGGCAGATACAAACTTCTATGTACAGAATGGATAAATAACAAGGTCCTACTGTATAGCATAGAGAACTATATTCAGTGGCTTGTAGTAACCTGTAATGAAAAGGAGTGTTTCTATATGTATAACTGAATCACTATGCTGTACACCAGAAACTAATATAACATTGTATATCAACTATGCTTCAGTTAAAAAAATGAAAAAAAGGAGTTAATTCTCTCAAACTCTCCAACTGCTTTATCAACTAAGTTTGTCATATTCTAAATCATTTGTTGTCATTTCAGCAGTCTGTAAGCATCTTTACCAGGAGTAGATTCCATCTCAAGAGACCACTTTCTTTGCTCATCCAAAAGAAGAAACTCCTCATCCTTTTAAAATTTTATCATGAGATAGCAGCAATTCAGTCACACATTCAGGCTC